GAGTTAAGGCGGTTTTCCAGTCCTCGCACGAAGCTCCTCGCAGCTCGCTGCGAGTGCTTGCATCTAATTAAAATTAGCTGTTAAGCCGGTTTTCCACTAGCGATTTTTTTCGCGCGAAGCGACATTTTGCTATTGTTTTAGAGCTCTCAGCTGCAACCTTCTGGAACAAATTGCCTAAAGACAAAGGAATAAATTCGCTTCGCGCGAAAAAAATCGCTAGTGGAAAACCGGCTTTAAGCATTGTGATTGGATGAAAGTGCTCAGTCATGCATCACTCGCAGCGAGCTGCGAGGAGCTTCGTGCGAGGACTGGAAAACCGCCTTAACACTTTGGACAAATGGTTTTGTACGAACGAGGATCGTTGACATTGTAACAAGTTCTTAGGGGCCATTCACAAAAGATGTCCGGCCAAATGATGGATTTTCAGATCCCCCCTCCCCCCCTTGTCCGGCATTGTCCGAATTAGTGACCCTCCCCCCGGACATCCGCCATGCCTCGCAAAAACTCACGCAATCTTGTATATATCAAGAGTAAAAAACTTTTACTTTTAGAACTTTTTTATAACTGTAAATGTGAACACAAAAACATATAAATTACTAATTAAAACAAAATCTAGTGTTAACCGCATAGTCAAAATGCCAATTTCACAATGGGAAAGACTGCTCAAAATAGAGGGAAAAAGAAATTTGTTTTTGAATTTTTTTAAATTTCGGACATCCGGATTGCTAAACCCCCCCCCTCCCCTCCTATATCCGAGTTTGTCCTGATTTTCCAAACCCCCCTCCCCCCCTCGGCTCGGACATCCTTTGTGAATGGCCCCTTAATGACATAGTCATAGAGTAATACTTAAAAATGACAGTTTTAAATGTAGAGAGGCCACGTGTCCAGTTTTAGTTGATCGGTTTTATATGTCCCGTGTTTTTGCCCCGTCTCCCGTTTTCTTTATGATGTCCATCTTCAGGTTTTGTACTCTAAGGGGTTGGCATGTCGGAAAGGATACAGTAAAAATAAAATTTTCAAAGGCATTATTCCATTGATGTGACAGAAAGGGCAATCCAGCTATAGATGAAATGTTGATCTAGGCAAGAAGAACAAGATCGATCACCACAGTTAGAAAGCTCGGCAAGTTAAAATTAGTCAAAATTGCAAAGTTTGGCCGCGAAATGTTGTAAAATGCGGAAAATATGGCCTTGCGAAATTTGCAAATTTTGTATTAATTATTTGTATTACGCGCGGGAAAATGCATCACAGTTGGGACGAAATTGATGCAAATTCCCCATGCATAATACAAATTAATAAGTAAACACAAAAGTTTGCAAATTTCGTAGCGCTATATTTTCCTCATTTTACAACATTTCGCAAGCAAACTGTGTAATATTACTAATTTTAACATGCTCTTTCTAGCTGTGGTGATGGATTTTGTTCTTTTTGGCTAGATCAAAATTTAGCCTATAGCTGGAATTGCCCATTGAAAAATTTTTGGCAAAGGAGTCAAGAAAAATTCGACGATTTACAAACAGGTCACAACCGATGCTTGAGCATTTTTGATGTGGGTCATGAAAAAAATGGAAAATTTTCCGTAAACGATCTCAATGCAAGTTGTAAACAAGCGTGGTGTCAATAGGCTTGCTACAAGTTGATCAATAGGCTTTTTAAACCACATGTGAGATTTTTGCGTATTTAGGGTACCTATATGTAATTTATTTTCAAAACAGTTAATGGACCGGCCATTCCCCAATTAACCAAAATTTTGAACTCAAGTCTAGACAAAAATTTCATCACAGCTTGAAAGAGCATCACAAAATTAGGGAGCGGTCATTATTTATGGCGGGGGGTGGCACCGAAGAGAAAAGGGTTGGGTAAACAAAATTTTGAGTGAGAAAAAGGTTGGGTAAATGAAAAACGAAACAACTCAAAGGTTGGGTAATAAAAATTTATTGTCATTTCCAAAGCATGACTCACTCAAATATTGAAGACTGAGAACTTCAATGTCAACAGTCATATTTCAATACAATATGTGAATCAATCAGAGTCACTATCTTTATCATTTTCCGTTTTGTTGGGAGACAAATGGTGTCTCCAAAGAAAGTAAATGTACAGACAACATGAAACTTTAGACTGCAGAAAAGTCAGTAAATTTCACAAGCCGAACGTTATCAAACTCGTATCACAGAAGTGGTAACTAGGACATGTGTGACAACTGAATGGTATCCTTTTGTAACGTTTTTGGCCAGGAGTGGGTATTTATTTTTTAAATGATACTTGAGGTTGGGTAATCAAATTTTTTATTTTTTAATGGTTGGGTCAGCAAAATTTTTGGCACGAAAAACATTTCTCTTCGGTGCCATTCCCCACCATAAATAATGACCGGTCCCTTAGTAATATTGAAAAGTTTCGTTGCAAAATGTTGTAAAGTGCGGATAATGTAGCCTTGCGAATTTTGCAATTTTCAGTCATTTTAGATTACAAACGGGAAATGGTTACCACTTCTGTGCGTAATACAAAATGACTGAAAATGACAAATTTCGCAAGGCTATATCATCCGCATTTTACAACATTTCGCAACGAAACTTTGTAATATTACTAATTTTGTGATGCTCTTTCAAGCTGTGATGAAATTTTTGTTTAGACTTGTTGAGTTCGAAATTTTGATTAATTGGGGAATGGTCCATTGTACATGGGGTAAATCAATTTACAATACCTACACATGCACCTAGCAACATAATAGCTTCCCTTCTACCTACTTGATTTCTGTTTGCAAAAAAGATTTATAAATATTCCATAGATGAAGAGCAGACTGGACGGATCTTGTTCGAATTCAAAAGTGAAAATGGGGAATTGGTTAGCTCACCGTTGGATTTATCATTGGATACGTCAGCCGAACAACTACAAGAGCTTTGCCGAGCCTTGTTACCTGAGGTCAGTATAACGTGCCGTCGTAAAGATGAGATGAACGGTCACAGAGTTGTAACTAGTGTACCCACTTTTTTTGTGCACGTGCTCGGCAAGTTACTAGATGCATGCATCTGATTGGATGGCGGCTCGCTTTAAAACTTGCCGAGCACGCGCAGTTGATCATTTTTTGCCCGGTCGCCTGAAAGAAAGTGGATACATGAAAACGTAAGCTTCCGGAGTGTTTACAACGGTAAATATGTTATAGGACATAGTCGGATTGCCTGTTGGTTTGCCTTGCAGCCGCTCTTTGTGTCGACTTTTCTCCCCACGAGCGGCTGCTCACTCGAGCACAACATCCCATTACACATGACGTCGCAGCCGCCATGTCGGTGTTCCAATTCAAAAGAAATTTAATTAGACTCTTTTGTCTGGAACACCAACATGGCCGCCATGGCTTTTGTTGAGTTGGTCCCTGGGGAATGCAAATGCTTTATAGATAAATTATGTTTTTATCTGTGACTGTTCGTTCATCCTTAGGTGTAAACAGTAGTGAAAACAGGAGGGTTTTACTAAACACTATTATGCTGCAGTTGGTCATCAACCGACATGTCTATACTATTTTTTCAGCATATGGCAATGAAACCAAAGAGTATTTTGTGTGAGCCCGTATATGTAGTAGTCTTGTATTTAGTGGCCAATAAATAGAATTAGAGATATTTAATAGTGTGCGATAAATTGCGTACTTACGTACAGGAGGTATATGCCAATATTGCAGTCTGGTATTTCTTTGTCTTCAACCAGGGGCGTAGGAAGCATCCGAAAAGAATGGCGGGCACCGGCTTTCAGGGGCACTTTTGGATGATATTGAAAAGGGCACCTAAAAATTTTTTCCTGGAAATGTTGGAAATCACAAAAAAGGAAATCACAATTTTGGTCTTTTGAAAAAATTGGGTGGGGGACGTCCCCCCCCCCCCCCCCCCCCGGTTCCTACGCCCCTGTCTTCAACCACGTACTTACATTCTGCTGGTAACACATGACCTTTGCATGCTTAAGATATTCAAAACTGTATATGTGTAAGTCTGACATGTCTTGGCATGAAACATGATAGGACTGATGAGACTAAAGAATGTTGGAGTCAACTTGTAGTGTTTGCTCCTTGTTCTAACTTGTAGTTTTCGGTCACTGAATGAATACTTTCAAAATTCTACTTTAAAATAGGAAAAGGAGAATGTACATTCATTTTTCGTCAATGGTACAGAAATCACAGGCAGTATTCGAGATGTCCTTAATCAAGATGTGTTGGAAACCGAGAAAGTGGTTGAGATTATTTATCAGCCACAAGCGATCTTCCGTGTTCGAGCTGTGAGTCGATGTACCAGTACCATTACAGGTATGCTTCATTATGACTATTTGCTCAGGGTTAGTCAAAGCAAAGTGCAAACAAAAAATGTAAGTCACATTACACAGTACATTAATACAATTAAATATACAAAAAACTACACTAACAACAGCATGCAAATAATATATGAAAGTATGGAATAAGGCCATGGTGAACTAGCCATAGCAACAGGTCATGCTACGAAAATTTTCAATGATTTACATTATTCAAACCTTTGGTACTTTATTAGCATAGCATGACCTGTTGCTATGACTAGCTTCGCCACTGAAATAAGGTAGAATTTAAAGTACTGTCAATGTCTACCTTTGACAGGCAAAGACAGAAAGATTTAAACATAGGGAGAACGTTCATTAATACCATAGGGGTGGACAAGTTTGGAAATGAGGTGCATTTCATGTCTAATTCTGTGGTTATCAGTACTTCAATATCTGGAAGCAATGAGATATATACTATATAAAGACTACTACATAAAAGAATTAATATATTATTTTCACTCTGATAACTGCTGGTTGACCACCCTGTTGGTTGTCCACAATGTTAGTGATAGCCTCCTAGTGAATAGAAATAATTTGTAAAAGAATTTGTTATTCTTAGGTCATGCAGAGGCTGTCCTTTCCGTGGCTTTTAGTAATTGTGGAAGGTAATTATAAAAAATGTTGTACCTTATATGACTGCATGTGTGAAAATCGTTTCTGTGAATGCAACAATAAATTGAAATCTTCTATAAATGTTGTAGCCTATCATGTAAAACTGACATGTTTAGGTATTTGGCAAGTGGTTCTGGTGACACAACAGTCAGATTTTGGGATTTAACAACAGAAACACCACAATTTATATGCAAAGGTCACAAACATTGGATATTATGTATTGCGTGGTCATGTGATGGTAAGAAGCTCGCGTCTGGATGTAAAAATGGTGAGGTGAGATATAAAAAAATTTCCTCTTCTAACACCCAGATATTATTATATACTCTCTGTGACATGTACATGAAGATGTAACATTATGTAAATCGTTTCAGATAATTTTGTGGAAACCTGAAACAGGCGAACAGTTGGGAAAAACATTAAAAGGACACAGACAATGGATCACAGCATTGAGCTGGGAGCCACTACATAGGTGTGTTTTACATAAAAAAGGTTATCTAAAGGCTATCTTTATAAATAATAAATCCATTGCTAACATAACGCGTACTATTTTTGATTTACAGAAACCCTACTTGTCGTAATTTGGCCAGCAGTTCCAAGGTATTGTTGGACATTAATGATGAGAACTTTCTTATTCTACTATAGCTATAAAGGATGTGTATTCCAAGATGACCATCTCGACTAAGTAACCAATTGTTTGAAGTTTAGACCATAGCAAGAATATGCTGCAAAAGATGCAGCATTTCCAGATCATTATCTAGTATCCTGAGAGCCAACAGTTTTCAAGTTTAGCTCTGTAACAGTCAGCCAGAAAGGATATCTGTATTTGAAAGTGATATCTGTATTTGAAATGTTTTGCAGGATTCAACAATTAAAATATGGGACACAACTACAACACGGTTATCAATGACATTGTGTGGTCATACACAATCTGTGACATGTGTGAAGTGGGGAGGAGAGGGATTGATCTATTCTGCATCACAAGATAGAACAATTAAAGTCTGGAAAGCTGAGAATGTAAGTTCAGTGTAGGTAGTATTCCACAATAAGCTGTCGTGGTTTGTGTTGAACTACCTGAAGAAGATATCTCAAACGTGATAATAATAATAATAATAATAATAAATATATTTTGCCCTTTTTGAAAAAAATACAGTTATCAAAAATTAGTTCTTAAATAATAAATAGAATAATAAATATAAATAGTTAACACACTGTTTAACGGGTATTGGGCCTGGTAACTAAAGTGATGGTCCAGTGTAGGTAGTATTCTACAATAAGCTGCTGTGGTTTGTGTCTGAACTATCTAAAATGGCCGACCTCAAACGTGGTGGTGCAGTGTAGGTAGTATTCTACAATAAGCTGTCGTGGTTTGTGTCTGAACTACCTGAAAAAGATATCTTAAACGTGGTGGTCCAGTGTAGGTAGTATTCTACAATAAGCTGCCGTGGTTTGTGTCTGAACTACCTGAGAAAGATATCTTAAACGTGGTGGTCCAGTGTAGGTAGTCTACAATAAGCTGCCGTGGCTTGTGTCTGAACTACCTGAAAAAAAATATCTTAAACGTGGTGGTCGAGTGTAGGTAGGCATATTGTAAGTCAGCATTAAGCCAGGTTCAGAACTAGATGAGTATGGTTGCACGTTGCTCATAGTGAAATGAAATTTGTTTACAGTAATCAATTTCTTTCCAGGGAATGCTGTGTCGAACATTACAAGGTCATGGACATTGGGTTAGTTTAATGTGCTATCTTTCATGTTGAAACCACTTTGCCAAAAAATTCGCTAATTAAGTATTTTCTCTTGGCCACTTTATTAACAAAACGTTCTGCGTAATATTTATTTGAAGGTGAACACAATGGCGTTAAATACAGATTATGCAATAAGAACTGGAGCGTTTGATCCAGTACAGACCTCTAAGAATACGTCTGCTCTTAAACCTCTCTCTGAAGATGAACTAAAGCAAAAAGCTTTTGAAAGATACCAAAAAGCCAAGGTATTGCTGGGGTTTTTTTTGTCATTTGTTGTTGTACGTTGTTGTACGTTGATGATGTTGATGATGATGGTGGTGATGATGAGTTGATGTGGTAGTGGTGGACCGGTGGTGCTGCTGTTGGACCGGTGGTGTTGTTGCTGTTGTTGTTGCTGTTGTTGCTGTTGTTGTTGTTGTTGTTGTTGCTGTTGTTGTTGCTGTTGTTGCTGTTGTTGTTGTTGTTGTTGTTGTTGTTGTTGTTGTTGTTGTTGTTGTTGTTGTTGTTGCTATTGCTGTTGTTGGGGGTTGCTGTTGTTGCTGTTGTTGGGGGTTGCTGTTGTTGCTGTTGTTGTTGCTGCTGTTGTTGCTGTTGCTGTTGCTGTTGTTGTTGTTGTTGTTGTTGTTGTTGTTGTTGTTGTTGTTGTTGTTGCTGTTGTTGTTGTTGTTGTTGTTGCTGTTGTTGTTGTTGTTGTTGTTGTTGTTGTTGTTGTTGTTGTTGTTGTTGTTGTTGTCAAGTCGGGTATATGCAAAGGTTTATTTATAATTTGTGTAGGGAACAAAAACTGAGAAACTTGTTTCCGGATCAGATGACTTCACTTTGTTTCTTTGGGAACCTGAAGAAAATAAAAAGTCTATAGCGAGAATGACAGGTATTTTAATGAACAGTTTTCACTTGTTATATATTGGTGGGTTTCACTGAACGCTATGGCGCAGCAAATGGTGCTCGAACAGCGAGTTAACACAGTGAGATAATTTTCTTGTATTTTCAGGGCATCAAGGATTGATAAATGCTGTGTTGTTCTCTCCTGATGGACGTCTCATTGCAAGCGCTTCATTTGATAAATCCATGAAACTCTGGGATGGAAACACTGGAGGGTACGCAACGATTTTTAGCTTCCCTTCCTTCGCTTCGCGTGCAAACAGAAAAAGCTACCTAGGCAAAAAAAAAATATGTGGGTTTCCGGTTTCCCGACCCTACCTAGCTTTTGGACGTCGAAATCCCGACCCTAAACTTTTTTATTGGATCATGCTTGTAAGTGTTTCCACTTAGAGGAAAAAGCTTGTGGAAAATTGAAATTTGAGGCAATATTAGGGAAATTTGTCTTTGGATGTGGAAGCACTGACTAAACAAAATGGCGTCCGCTTGTTCGGAAAATTAAAAAAAAAAAGTTTAAAAAAAAAAGTTATAACCGACCTACCCTACCTAAGTTTTTATGAGAAGAAACCGGAAACCCACATATTTTTTTTTTGGCCCTATTCGACCCACATAAGTAATTTGATGTATATTCGTGCAGACACATCGTAAAAGTTGAATGCATTTCAACCTTCACAGCATACCGTAAACCTTCGACTTCTCGGCCCCGAATATAAGCTCCACATATACTAAAGTACCTCATTCCCAAATATAACTTTACCCCGAATACCATGCCCCCCCGAATATAAGCCCTCCCAAATATAAGTCCCCCGAATTTATGCCCAGTAGCCCACTACGTTATTGAACATTGACATTGTCTTTTAATATAGCAGAGAACGATATTCAAAACATTGTCATTGTCTTTATAGCCGACTATGTTAATCAAAGCGCGTTATTAATACATGTTTATTTTCCTGTTTATGGCTGACTTGTTTATGTCTGACGTTATTACAAACACAAAAGATCGTCCATGTATTAGCCCCTGTATATAAGCCCCCCCCCCCTTGTATAAGCCCATCAAAAATCGCTTACGAAAGTATATAAGCCCAGGGCTTATAGTCGGAGGTTTATGGTATCCGTAAGCACCAAAGCGAACTTGAACAGCTGTACAGCGTAGTTTTCAAATTGTTTAGCTCGTCGCATGTGGATGGACAAAGCTTTAAACCATAAAGGAAAGCAGGTTTTGGACAGTCTAGACCCTTGAGTATTTACTTTCTTGTTTCTTGTTATAACTTTTAGGTATCTAGCGTCTTTACGAGGTCACGTGAATCCCGTATATCAGGTAGGAATTTTAACCGTTCTACACTAAAACGAATTTCCAAGCTAGCGATGAAAAGAGTTCAAAACCTAAATTCTTTTTGGCGTTCCTCTCAAAATACTTTGTTTTAACTTTATTTTGCAGTTTACACAGTTAGCAATCTTTTTAAATGTATCTGGCGATAGAGAAACATAAAATAATGGTTAAATATTGTCAATTTAAATACAATTATCATCGATGCTGTGAAATTAACGCCATATTTCATGAGCAATATAAGCATTACGTACGGAACTTCAGACATCATTTTTTCTTTGGCCTACCTTCTGAAATCTCTTCATTTTATCATTATCTTACAGATAAAGCACTAAACATACTTTTTAAAATTTGTTTGCCTCTTGAAAACGTATGAAAACTTTTGTATATAGAAAATTGAATATAGTCTTAACCGAGTGGAAAAGTATATTGTTTCATTAGTTTTGAGCGCGTGTTACGTAACATACAAAAGATTCTCCTCTTAATACTGTTTTATTCGTATTATTTTCAAGATTGCATGGTCTGCAGACAGTCGGCTGTTGGTCAGTGGTAGTGCTGACAGTACGTTAAAGGTTGGTAACATTGAGCTCTCTATATAACTGGAGTAAGAACGTCAGTCATTCGGTCTATAAGAAAAGTGAAACAAAAAGTGAAGCCAAGCGCCGGAACCGCGCGGGATAAATTAACTTTCAAAAGGACTAGGGTCTAGGGAGAGTTTCGAGGAGCGGGAAATTCAGTAAAAAGTTTGTTTTTGAGCGAAAACTAGCAAGAAAAAGTGTACTTTTTTATCAAGAGGCTTCAACTTTAAAATTTAGTTTAGTTTAGTTTTAACAGCTTTATTGATAAAGATTCAAATCAGGTTCTGGATATAGTTCTAAGTATTTTATATCCACTATTAACAACAAAAACTTCCTGGGTAATAGTTTCCTATATTCAAAATATTACACAAGTTTGAATGTGCCGAAAAAAACGTCGCACTTTGACTCCTGAGAAAAGAATTTTAAAACTGCTCTACGTTTCGGAAGCATGTTTCGTATTAAATTTCAAGTATTGTTGAAAGTGTTTAGCTTTTTTCCTGGTTGAAATACAGCTTTTTGGTGCTCGAAAACAGATGTCTTTTAGACATCTTTCAGATTGCTTTCGTGTTTAATTATACTGCTCTGTGGAGGAAAGCGATTCCGACGTCTAAATTCAGAAGCAATAAATTCAATGAATTAAATTCCACGGAAGTTTCCCATCCAAAACAGGCGTAACATTTGTAGGCATGTGTCTATGCTACTATACCTGAAAATCAAAACAAACCTCAACGGACGAATGTTTAAAGGGTATGAGCAACAAAAATTTCTTGCAATAAAAGTTTCTTTCATCTGAAAGAGCTTGTGAAATGGTAATGGAACATATACTACAAATCTTTCGTATCTTTCTTCGTTATTGAAATATTTCAATGTGTTTGATATGCAAATTATGACGTCACAAGCTGGGTACAAAATTTTAAAACATTAAAATATCAGGTACATTCTGCAAATTGTTTCTATAATATTTACTTGGCATTGTGTATATGACAACTCTTCATGACACTAGCGTGGCATGTTGAGCAATCAACTGGATTTATCTGATATTTTAATGTTTTAAAATTCTGTACCCAGCTTGTGACGTGATAATTTGCACATCAAACACATTGAAATATCTCAAAGAAAGATACGAAAGATTTGTATAGTATATGCTCCATTACCATTTGACGAGTTCTTTCAAATGAAAGAAACTTTTATTATTTGTTGCGTCAAATTTGTTCCTCCCATTTCAAGCTTATAATAATTTGCGAAAGTAACCAAACATCTGTTTTGAATTGAGAATATTTTTTTATTTCCAAAGGTGTGGAATGTTAAAACTAGGAAGTTAGAAAAAGATCTTCCTGGCCATGCGGATGAGGTAAATTCTTGAAAGTAAAACTGTTAAACTGCAGTGATGTAACTTAGCGCTTGCCCAGAGCAAGTAAAAATCATTTGGGGCAAGTAGAAGTTGTTTCTTGGTTGTCCGATCAGGAAAGTTGTTTTAATCTTTGCCAGAAATTAATTGCTAAACTAAATTGTTTGCTTGTTTATGATAAGGCCAAAAAAAAAATATGTGGGTTTCCGGTTTCCCGACCCTACCTAGCTTTTGGACGTCGAAATCCCGACCCTAAACTTTTTTATTGGATCATGCTTGTAAGTGTTTCCACTTAGAGGAAAAAGTTTGTGGAAAATTGAAATTTGAGGCAGTATTAGGGAAATTTATCTTTGGATGTGGAAGCACTGACTAAACAAAATGGCGTCCGCTTATTCGGAAAATTTAAAAAAAAGTTTAAAAAAAAAAGTTAAAACCGACCTACCCTACCTAAGTTTTTATAAGAAGAAACCGGAAACCCACATATTTTTTTTTTGCCTAACCATTCTGTTTTTGATTCTTTATTGGTCAATCAGCTGAAATGAACACGTCTTGATTAAGTCTTCAAATGACTTTGTCAAGGAAAACATAGAATGTTGATTAATCAATGCTTACTGCAATACTTTGTTTCAAATTTTGTGAGAGCAAAACTAGACCTGATGGCAAGTGAATTTTATTACGGACAACCAATTTTCATGTCTAACTTGCCCTGATCGCAAGTGTCACACCGGGAATTCGCGGGCTCAAACTCCTGCTGGCGGCCATTTTTCGTTAAACCATCCTTTTATAATGCTTGCTCTTTTTGTGTGGTTTTTATCAGAAATGTACCAAACAAGGTATTTTTATCGCTATTTGTTGTATTTAAGTAAAATGTAAACAATAACAAAAGCCCGCAATGCATGACCCTGACACTAATCCTTTAAGTTACACCAATGAAATTCAGTAATAATTCTTGCGCAAAACACAAAGAAAATCAGCATCGTATTCTTGTTGTGCTATACCGAGGAAAGAAACTTTGTTGCCAGTGGCGGGTAGCCAGCTCGATAATTGCGGGGGGCATATATATTCGTGTTCTGCATTATTAATTTCTTTTGTGAACACGAATATATGAATGTGCAGCGCTCTAACCAACTGAGCTACAGAATCCAATTATCGAGCTCTAACCACAAGTTCTTGTATATATTTGTACTAGATAAAACATGAGCGAGCCAAAGGCGAGAGTTTGTATATCAGATACAGGTCGGGTGCGGATGTTTTATCGTACTTAAAAAATGACGCATCTTATGAGTTCATTAGCGAAGTAATTTTAAAAATAAACATTGTCTAAGCCGAGAAAATCAAAGCTGAAGTTTATGTAAATCAGGACAAATCTTTATCCGGTTTACAAACATTGATTAAACATTCATTTCTTTTGTATTTTCCTCGTGGTATGGATAATAAAAATCTTGATATTTACCCAACCATACATACGTACAGCCTCGTGTCTGTTTAATATCGCTTCGTGGTCTCTCATATTTTCGCGCCTTTTTTCACCGCGCGCGTGCAACGCTATTTTCCACCCCTTGAGAGATGGACTTGAACCAAGTGTAGGTAGGGTTCAAGGTTAAAAGCTTCTACTTAAACAAATTAACAGCCACTTGACTTGATCAAGATCAAAATACCAACAAGCGATTATTCCGTCATACTACACAACACAGACACAGATGTTGTCGCACGAAATAATTATCTTCGGAAAACCTTTCATATTCTCACTGTTACACAGATGGAGGAGTTGATTTCGGCAATTTCATATTATTCTCACTGTTACACAGATGAAGAAGTTGATTACAGTTTTTGTTGAAACACCCAAAAATTCCATGTTTAACACATCGAGATTTATGGGCATCTGACGGTTAGAGCTCGACAAATTGCCTCGTTAGTTCAGCTGTACAGGAATCACACTGCTGGAGATTCGATTCCTATACCAGAGGGCCTATAATATATGTTTTTATTTTTTGGCAACTGCTCCTGTGGAAATTCCCATGTGCAAAAATCCTTCATTTTTAACATTGGATTCTTGCACTTCACTTGGTGGAATTAATATTAGAATGTTAGGGTTTGTAATCCAAGTGAGTATATATACATTTTAAGACCTAACCAGGAACGACTGCGAAAGATGCAGCACAAGGTCCTCTGCAGCACAGGGCCGTAGGTTCAGTTCCTATACCAGAGGACCTGTGCTGCATTTTTCGCAGTCGTTCCTGGTTAGGTCTTAAAATGTATATATTCCACTTTGATTACAAACCCTAACATTCTAATATTCATTTTTAACACACTTCATTTTCCAATTCAAACTCAATAATTTACCAGCAACACAAAGGAAACCTGTACCGTTTTGATTCTACGGTCATATACGCCCATAAACCAACTCAACATCGCGTTGAATTTCTCTTTAAATACAAGTACGTTTGAGAAGTAACATAACAAAGTCGAACGCTGTTTATTACCGGCGTATTATAAAACATCTCAATTTATACGTGAAAAATCTCGGCTAATGCTTCGTTTTTAACACACTTTTCGGAGTTTTATACAATCAGTATATTACTTGATTACCTGCGTGCAATATAACTTTTCAAACGAACCAGTATAGGCCAACTATATATAGAAGTGAGAAAACTTTGGTCAATTATAAACTGCGATTTAAGGCGAGTTCAGGCAATTTAAGGCGAGTTCAGGCAATTTAAGGTGAGTTACCATTCCAAAGTAGGCCTCAGTATTTATAGATTAAAGAGAAATTTTTTGTGAAAGTCGGCTTAATTTATGGCCGTTTGTTGCCGTGGTATCAAAAGTTCAAAACAACAACACTGTGGCTATTTTTAGCGCGTTTCAGGATTTTATTGACGATACCAATGCAAAGTCGTTATTCCGGAGTGACGGTTACAGAAATGATACTTGCCAGAGTTACTATATTTATCCTTAGCTTACATACGATACTCGAAGTTCAAGTATACTTTATTTTTGACAAAATCTAACCCTAGCCCCTATCCTTACCCTTGCACTTACCCTTACCAGGGGCGGATTTACCGTGGGAGTGCGGCGGGGTGCGCACCCCACCCAGTTGTGTCTAGTGTCCCCTTCGAGAAGTCCAGCACCACCCTAAATAGTCTGCGTGACCATACATTTTCTGCTTTTCGAATAGCGATTAGTGCATGGAAGCTTGCACCACGTAAACATATAATATACTTTAAGTTTTATCTTCAGAAAATATCGAATCGTTTATACTCTATTCTGTGCACTGCCATCTTCGCTAACATTGTTGATTATCTGTCAGGTTTACGCTGTTGATTGGAGCCCTGATGGTACCAGAGTGGCCAGCGGAGGCAAAGATAAAGTCTTAAAATTGTAAGTAACTTAGGTCAGTTAGTTGCCCTCTGATCTTATAAGTTGACTGAATATAAAAATATGACCATCTTTTGCCCCAAAGAAGCTATAGTGCTATACTGTTGGCATGATGATGGCGTAACTTAATTATTTTTACCACTTGCGAATACTTCAAATTAGAGTTAGAAAATTGGTCGCCCAGAATAAAATTCACAAAACGCTAAGTTCCATCACTGATGGTTATATCTTTGTCATTTTTAAGATGGCGTTCTTGACTGAATTGTTTCTGAACTACAGATGGTAAGTTGCACATTACTTCAGTAAGCGTTCAAGGTAGCAGATCAGAGCAGTGTAGACTTGGATCAAGTCCGTTTCTCTAGAGTTCGAGTCGCGAAGCGGCGCGCTCGATCCCTCGAACTCCAGAGAGACGGACTTTATCCAAGTCAGTCTAGAGCAGATGGTGCATTGCCAGATTTGAATCCAGCCGCCACAATTTTGCATTACTGTATATTTTATCAGTGACGTAGCCAGGGTGCCCGGATTTAAGATTTATGCCCGACCTGTGTTTTGTCAATGTATAGGTTATAACGATTGTTCACAATTTTTTCATTTACATAACATTTGGCGGTTAATTTCAAAACAATACAACTGACTTTATTTTCAGTTTTCGTGTATCAACTGGCCCAGGCCAATGTTTTCTAAAGAGCATTATGTATAGTTGTATACGAGCACGTTTTTTGTGAAAATTTTAAAGAAAACATCGACTGAGTTCGGTTCGTGTGAATTTTTCAAAATCGTTAATGGTTAATTGGGGGAAGTAGAGCCAAATGTCTGTCATATTCAAGTGCTTTGATGCCATGCGTAACTTGAATGTTTGTGTTGTCTTATATATCATAATTAATTGTAAATATATACGCTGTGGGGGAATAGAACTTTTTGTAGAATACTACCTACACTGGACTACCACGTTTGAGATATCTTTTTCAGGTTGTTCAGACACAAACCATGGCAGCTTATTGTAGAATACTACCTACACTGGAGCACCGTGTTTAAGATATCTTTTTCAGGTAGTTCAGACACAAACCACGACAGCTTATTGTAGAATACTACCTACACTGGACTGCCACGTTTGAGATATCTTTTTCAGGTAGTTCAGACACAAACCACGACAGCTTATTGTAGAATACTACCTACACTGGACCACCACGTTTGAGATATCTTTTTCAGGTAGTTCAGACACAAACCACGACAGCTTATTGTAGAATACTACCTACACTGGACCACCACGTTTGAGATATCTTTTCAGGTAGTTCAGACACAAACCACGACAGCTTATTGTAGAATACTACCTACACTGGACCACCACGTTTGAGATATCTTTTTCAGGTAGTTCAGACACAAACCACGACAGCTTATTGTAGAATACTACCTACACTGGACCACCACGTTTGAGATATATATTTTCAGGTAGTTCAGACACAAACCACGACAGCTTATTGTAGAATACGACCTACACTGGACCACCACGTTTAATTAAAATATCTTTTTCAGGTAGTTCAAGACACAACTGTTAAAGAAAACATGTCAAATTTCCCTGAAAACTTTATGAATACTTTATTGCAAAAAGTCTAGAACGGTGGAAAGACTCGATGTTCAGTAAACTGTACTCTTTCATCGCCCATTTTGTGATAATTAATATAAATTGCCAGGGCATTACCGCGTTGACATACATTTCTGTTGTGATATATCTATTAGGACTGGATTGAAAACAATGTTTTGTGTCAGTTTGTGGTAATCTTCAACTGCACATAACAAAACATAAGACTTTTAAAGTTGTTTTTTCTTCCTTGCACGAGCGCCATGAGGTAAAATGCCGCCAAAATTAGTTCTGCCAATTTTCGGGTGACGTGTTGATGCATGCAAAAACGTCGTTTGCTTTAGCCGTCACCATTGTCCGTTTTACACCCCTCAAAATGAAGCACATGCAAACGCCGAAAGGTTAATGTGCATGGCACATGTCATTTCAATTTTCAAGAGGTCACATACAACAGAGGCTAGGTTTAAGTAAACTATACAAAGCTAGCCAAAACTTCAGTTTGAACAACCGTTGCAAGACAAAACACAAGGTTTTTGACGCAAAATATACCAGTGGAAATTTGGAAATTACCGCACGAACTTTTTTGTAAGTTTTTAACACTATGTACTCGTACTGCGGAATGGGTTTATAGGAATGATTTGGGATGGTAGTGTATTATATGCTACGCTAAATTTTGAGTACCAGCTGTGCCAGGCACATTGTTCTTCCCTTAGTAAATATTCAGGCCAAAAATAATTTGTTCTGCTGAGTCCTCTACAGTGTTAGTATCTCAATAATCAGAGTCTTGTATACTCATTACTCAGTGTTATATAATCATATTGCGGATGGGTTTAGGAATGATTTTGGATGGTATATACAATATTATATGCTACGCTAAATTTTTAGTACCAGCTGTGCCAGGCACATTGTAGTTCTTCCCTTCGTAAATATTCAGGCCAAAAAATTTGTTCTGAGACCTCTATAGTTCCACTGAAGTTAGACAGCAGAGTCTCGTTCTAAGTTTTTTTCTACCAGGACAACTTACTAACAAAATATCAAGTTGAAAATCAAACAACTCTCTATATAGTATATATAAGCGAGTCAGAAGCCATTATTTATTTTATGTACTATATTCGTGTGGCGGATATCGTGTTGGTTTGTTGGTGGTTGTTAAACAACAGTGCTCAGAGTAAGAAAACAATGTTAATTTGTTTTTATTATGTCTTGAATTTGATGGTCAGTAAATTGAATTGACAGACGTAGTTCCTTGCTCGTATATAAAATATCTGCATGTTTGCCACGTAATGCTGCTGAATATTAAAAGATAAAACCCAGCGATGTTCAAACGTTTATGAGTATAGACTACAGAGGTGAGCTTTTGCCATGACACGAGACTGAAATTTCGCAAACTTTGATCGTATATGAACAAACCTTTTAATTCGCAAGGTATGGTTGGCTACCATTTGCTGAACTGTAATTAATATACTTCACTGAATGCGAGATTGGTCACATTTATTAGCACAAAATTAGCACTAGGTCTAGAAAGATATAAACCTGCTTGCAACTTGAGTTGTACTGTGTAAATCAAGGACACAACTTTCCTACGTCGTTGGTGTGCTTGATATACACAGTATAAAAGCGAGTTTCTGAGATCACAGTGGGAATCTTGCACAGATAAATCTTAAGTTTCGAAGGATTTGTAAGAAATGTTTGAGTTTAAAATTCAAAGCAAACTTTCCAAGAGCTTGTTTGTAAATTTGGAAATATTTCTTCAGAGATCTTGTCCGAATCAGCAGGAGTTTTCCCTCTGAAGTTTTGAAATGAACAGACGGGCAGAAATACAAAAACTAAAACAGCAGGTCGGTCCATGGTGTGTTAAACACTGACAAAGTTCCCTCAAACATTTCTTGCAAATCCTTCAAAAGGTAGAATTCACCCATGCAAAAATCCTACTGTGATCACAGAAACTTTGATAGTGTAAACCAGTTGTATAAGCAGGTTGCATGCGACAGTTTGAGGCAAATGTTGTACAGTGTAAATCAGCCTTATAAAGTCTAAACGAACCTAAGTGTTTATATAATTAATTGTGTATTTTTTCTGATTTTACAGACGACACAAAGGAATCGAAACGTACATGACCAAGTAAACTTGTCGCGTCTGTCGAGGTAAAAGTTGAACTGTAAAAGGTAAAAAAAAATATAATACTATTAAAAGAAGAAACTATATCGAGATTACAAAATGTTCAAAAATGGGAGCAGCGAGATTGGCCATGACTTGGTCACGTTTGAGGACGCGTCGGGCAGTGGTTCAGGCAGTGGATCGGGGTATTGGGATGATGATGATGAGGATGACGAGGATCATAACTTGAAAGCCTACTTTATCCCTCTGTGTATCCTAGCCGGTCTCATTGTGATGGTGAATAGCTTCATTCTGGTGATAGTCTGGAGAAATGTGAAACTGCGCAGCAACTGTAACGCGTTGTTGGTCAGCTTGGCTGTGGCGGACGGCACTACAGGTCTCGTGGGGATACCCGTGTTTGTGTCCTTACACTTTGCGCAGGATAGAATGACAATACAGCAATTGTGTTTCACGTATATCTCGGTGCATACGTGGTTCTGGTTCATGTCCATTGTCAGTATATTCCATCTTCTGGTCATCGCATGCGAGCAATATCTGGCAATCCTCAAACCGTTCAGTCACGACAAGATTGTAACAAAAACATCCACCGCAATCACACTCGCTATCATTTGGCTGCTGACCATTGGTCATTCGCTCGTACCTTGGTCCTGGACTCTCCGTCTGGGCGATGAGTTTTGTTACGTCTACGACGAGACAGAGGAACGGAATGACAAAATCTACACCATCCTTTCAATCGTAGCATTTTTCTGTGTGCCAATTGTAATCCTGTTCTACGTCTACTACAGGATTGTTTCCGAAGCGAAACGCCAGTTGTGTCGCATCAAACGTGAATCTGTGTGCTCGAGAGGCAAGTACCCTAGCCTGTCATCTTGTACTCGCTTTCGTGGCTTCTATATTATCGCACTGATGTTCGTAGTCTTCGTGCTATGTTGGGCCCCCTATTTCGTGTCCGTCTGCTACGAAGCTTTCGGACATGAAATCGAAAGTTGGCTCAGTTACAAGTTAACCCTGCTGCGTTTCCTACCCTCTTTGCTCAATCCCATCATGTTCGCGTTCTGGAGAAGCGATTTTCGTGCCGCGTGCATTGAGAAGTTTTGTTGTTGCGTCGCCACGAATGATCAAACGCGTTCCACGTTGTCAAGTGGTAAACAGCAGTTGCCACTGATGAACAGAGAGAACAGACTCTCGGATTCGAAAGACTCCAAACCACAAAATGTCTGAATCCTGACTATATAACTTTGTTGTAGCTTGCAAACATTTTCCGAAACTAAAGGCCATGTAGAATGTGTTTCAGTAAGCTCTAGTCCAAGGGTCGAAGACGGAGTATCGGACCATGGGAGACCATTGGTCCCATAAAATTTTTCGTTTTCCCAGAAAATATTTTCAGAAAATTTTCAATGTTTTCTTTCAAGTCCCAGAAAGTAAAGTATTTTTCCACCCTTGATGAAAAGAATTAATATTATTTTTTCATTTTAAATATTATTTTTTCAATCTAAATTCTTACTAAATAAATTTAAATTTAGATAACACGCATCAAGGGTTGATCCTTAGGTGCTGATTACATGGTGCCGGGCTGGCCCGGTTAACCGGGCTGACTCGTTTGTTTAGGACCTTACTGTGGTTTTAAAACTCGCGTAAAATAGATTTGCGATAAATAATTGGTTTATTATAGATGCAAAATCATCCTAAACCTCATTCAAAACTCATTTTGCGCCCCAAGGAAGATTTTCGTGACATTTTTCAGCCCGGTTAACCGGGCTGGCCCGGTCCATGTAATCAGCCCCTTAAGCTAAGGTAAATACAGATGCGAACAATTGGAACAAGGGGCACTGTTACTAGGGAGCACTTTCAGGGGGATCTATGCATGCTATATGCTATGCATCTTTTTGAAAAATTTTGAAAATCAAGTGCCCCATTTGTTACATCGTTCTATAGTCTATTAATATATTTATACACTATGAAGATGGATGCATTTATAATTGTATCTCTGAGGTCATGCTGTGAATTTTCCTCAGAATTTCTCCTTTTATCAAAATTAGTCCAATTTTTTTTTCTTGGGGAAATATTTTCTAGGAACTCAAAACATTTACTGGCACCAATGGTCCCGTGGTCTGATCCTTTTCCACCCCTGCTTTTCATTTTCATATGAAGTGTCTCTAGTATGTAGTTTAATTTTCTTACTCCTACAAGTGTAAATATTTCTGAAGTTGACCATGAGCATTTGCTGCCGTGTAACGCTTACTGAAACTCGCTGATTTCTGGGTATATAGTTGTTGGGGATATAGAATAAGTGATCATTGAACAACTTTTCAAAGGCTTTTACTTCTCATTGTAAATGAATGTATTTTCTAATGTATACAAGTAGAAATAGGTACAATAATGTGTAGAACTGGTTGGCGTAGTTTTGGTATTTGAATGTTTTTCTTGTAATAAAAAGTTCTCATCAAAGGTTCATACTTTAAAACCTAGCCTATGTCCTTTTCAGCTACAAGCAGGGCAGGAAAGGACATTTGTGGGTAATAAGGCACCCTTCCTCTGGTTACCACAATATAGTTCAATGTGCACCTATGTATCCCCTCAAGCATGGAGGTTAGGACAGGATATTTAGGGCTAATAAGGTATATAATCCCCTGACTTGCTATCAAGCATGAGGGTTAGGATAGGACATTTGTTGACCATAGTTGATATGTTGACCAGGATAAGGTACATTTGCTCCTGGATTTTGGCCATAGTACCCAGGCTGTCCCTGTATGTTCCCGGCCACCCCTGGAGGTACCTGCTGACCCCCAGGTTGTTTCAGTTGAATTTCAAAACATAGACAATTGATGGAGTTACATTCGGGCATTTGACAGTTGCAGGCACAGTTGCAATCACCACACTGAAACAAAATAAAGACCATCATGTGAGTATAAATGTTTGCCTGAATCTAAGCACAAACGTACAGGCCTGACAGTGGCGCCGCCAGCTCGATAATTGGGGAGGGTGCAAATATTCATATATTTGTGTTCACAGACCATAAAAACAATCAATTTCAAAAGTAGTTAATAATGCAGAACACGAAGATATGAATATTCGCCCCCTCCAATTATCGAACTGGCGGCGCCACTGAGGCCTGATACTTTCCCGTGGGGGGGGGGGGGCTACCACCTACCTCACACTCGGGTCCAGTGCAATCATCACACAGCCCTCCACCAGGCAACTGGTTCATACAACAGCAAAACGTATCATCACACTTCTAAAATTTAATCCAAAATAATTTTTAAATTGGTTTATTTGAAGAGTATACAAAAGAAAAAGATGAAACCTTTAAGTGGCAATGCATCCTGATGTGCCTTTTTTATTATTTTACTCTGTCTAACGCCAGGCGATTTTACTTGTCAGGGGGAGAGTGCTGCCACTCAATGGGTTAATCAGACTATCTGCATGCCCATGCACCATGTTAACCCTTTAAGTGGCAATGTGCCCTACTTTATTATTTTACTCTGCCAGACCATTTTACTCATCAAGGGGAGAGCGCTGCCACTAGATGGGTTGAAAACACCTTGACATCTAAAGCAAAGATCCTTTGTACAAATTAGGTTGGTCTTTTCCAGGTAGCTCAGACAGACACAAACCACAGTGCAATTTATACATACAGTAGGATGACCCCCCCGCAGCATTTGAGATATGCAAAATGTTACCTCTTTCGTCGGGCAACAAGTGTCGAGACAAGAGTGTTTTGTGGGAACATTGAAATCACACAGCTCTGCCAAGTGGGTAACGCACACACATGAAACACAAGAGCACGTTGTACAGCACATTTCATTGACCCACTCAGGACAGATGCTTAAACCTCGTGCCTTCAAAGAAAGAATACTGTCGTTCAATACCATTTTATCTGTAGACTGAGTTACATTGTGTGAAATATACCATATTAGTTTACATCGAAGGATGAACACTCACAGATAAATTAAACACTGTCAGCCATGCTCATATGAAATTTAATGTTTGTCAATTTGAGTGTTTTAAACAGGAGAGCTTTCCATAGCGACGTCAAAAAACACCTGTCCGTACCATTTTGGAACGCGATTCTCAGAGGAATTATAATTGCAATAGAGAGATGTTGTTTTGCTCAGCTTCTGAGAGTTGTACAGTCCGTATCGGATAGGTGCTTTTTCATGCCGCTAAAGATAGCTATCCGGTATAGCGTAAACATAGCCTTTATCTGGTCAGACAATCGAAATGCTAATCTGCTTTGCTAATAGTCAAATGCGAGCTCGCTACAAACAATTTCATGTGAGAATGGACAACGTTTTTATCTGCGACTTATACTTGCAAACAGTGGTACATGAACAGATTTTGACTGCAGCTGTAATATAATACAACGTAACATATACACTACCAGTAAGCATTGTCGTATCAATACACCAATAACAAAGACGACAACGTAACCACCAATGGCAATAAACACAATTGCCGCCGTTGGCAGACTCGAGTCTTCATCAACTGCTGGCGCTACAGTCTTTAACAAAATACAGAAATTAGGACCAGTACTCATAAACTTGGCTGCATTGGTTGCTTTTAAACATTATCGTGCAGCAGATGGTGATCAACCCGCAGTTATCAGAGTGAGAAAATAACGTTGATCATTTTCATTTATATTTGGTGGCAAATAAATTGAGGTTTAATTTGCTTCCTACAATAAGTGTGAACATTTTGGAAGTTGAACACCATCTGTTACCCTGCAAACGCTTACAGAAGCCCACCAATAAAAGGAACAAAACTTCTATTCAAATATTCTTTGCTTACTGCGGCAGTTGGCGCCATACTGTCAGCACTCTTTCAATTTAACAATTTTGAAATACTAATTTATAGCCCTCTTTCCACTCCGTGTATGGACAAGTAAATCTAAACCAAACATCTCGTTGATATAATAACGATATTAACTCCTTTGTATCTCCTAAAAATCAACTTTTTCACAACAATTTTGACGTTTTATATTTGTAAACAAACTTTCTGCGTTGAATGTTGATATGACTACACTACGCTTACATAACGTACCCGCAAAAAATATATTCACATCCAGTACGCTGGCTCGTTTGCGGATAATCAACACTGGTCTTAGCAAGATAACTGGAGTAGGCTGTTCTAAGCTTTGTTTCTACTCATTTATTTTATTATTTAATCTAACGAAGCCTTAATTAAACTCTATGTTTTTGTAATTTTTTAGATGCTATAGTAGCCATTAGAGTAAGACTTTATTAATTTTTGTCAATAAACCGCACTTGGTAAGTAAATAAGTATTTGGTCATTTTCGTGAACTTTTCTACATTAATTGCACTCCAGTTTTGACTTTTGAGATCAGTGGGGTCTGGATTCTTCGATTCGCGCTTCTTTTTAAAACGAAATTTCGTACTTTCTCTTAGAACTTTTGGAAAATAAAACGATTTTTCGATGGAGAGCGACGAAAAGCCAGCGGTTGAAGCTTTGCAGGGAAGACTAAACAGTTTGAACATCGAAGACGGTAAGAAATATTTAAATAATGGTTTTAAAATTGCATCTAAACACACTAAATTGCATTTACCTCGACAAAATTGAATATATATTATATGTATCATGATGACACTATTAGTTATGTTGTTTATACACTCAACAGACAAGGCTGGTTCCATTAAGGTAATTTTCCTTTGCAGTCGCTTTGCCCGCGCGGGTGGAGCAACAAATTCCAATCACATGAAAAATCAGTTGTGCGGGCACGCCAAGAAAGTTGAATGTAGTTCCACTTTCATGGTGTGTCTGTGAGCAATCGGGACAAAAAATGCACAGGTTAGGCCCATTTCAGACGCCGTACTCTTCGTGTGCCAAACTTAATTGTATTAGATACGACACAAGAACGGCAGTGATTCAAACAGCGTACCAAATACAATGTTATTGACAAGGTCGGGGCGCTTTCGCCAGCGAAACCTAAATAAAAGTCAAAATAAATAAGTTTATTTTTAGACTAAAGTTGAGTTAAGTTTGGCACATGAGTGGAGCGGCGTATGAATCAATGTCGCTCCATCGTCGCATAATGCGACAAGCTCTGCCAAACTTGTGTCGAACTTTTGCCGCTCCAAATTCTGCCGTACTTAATTGATTCATACGTCGCTCTTCTGCCGTACCTAAATTCATCAATTAAGTTCGGCACATGAGAAGTACGCCATCTGAAATGGGCCTTAGACAACTACAGAGAAAGTTGAATAATGTTTGCTCCGCCCACACAGGCAAAGCGACTGCAATGGAAAATTGCCTTGCTGCTGCAGGCGAAGCGAACAAAATGATACCAGTACGTCAAATGTGCATGCAAAAATCAATCTCCATTGATTTTAATGCATTTAGCAAAACCAACCCATACTGTCAAATCCGGTATTCCGTTGCCGGCAATATTGATCGGCTGATTGATCTCGCAAATTGCAACCGACGCGAACAAATTGCAATTTTTACGTGTTGACAATTTGTCAAAAGGTTGCGCCCAAATGTCAGATGCCAAGTATTTGATTGGCTTGTTTTGTACTAGTAGCCAAATATCAGGCTTTATTGAGTCGGCGTTAAAGAAATCCACCAACTTTATTTAGATGCAAATGAGGAAACGAAGAAGAAAACTGAAGAAAGTACTACAGGATGGAAATCCAAGGATGACGTCGAAGATTTAAAGGCAAAATTTCAAGATTTAACTCGTAGAGCAAAACAAGAAGCGCATGACGGAGATTTAGAGGAAAGCTTAAAATTATACAAGAAAGCGTACAAAATACACAAGAGCGAAAAAGTGGCTAAAAGAATTGAAAAGTTGGAGGTATGGAAAGTGATGTTTATAATGCCCTAAAAACCATTACCTT